CTGCTTACTCTGCTCAACAAGTCGATCGACATGCGCCTGCATGTCCTCGACTTGCATATGCCGCCGCTCGAACCATTGCACCTGCTCCGTTGCACGACCAAGTGCTGAAGCCTGACTAATAGCTCCTGATAGCACTCGAACCCATCGGCGAAAATCCAGACTGAAAAGATGATGAGCAAGATTCATTGTGCTCAACTCGCGGTACGCCGCACCGCAGTTGTTTCTTCAATCTCCTCTGCTGTCCTATCTTTGACCTTGCGACGACGACTCGCAGCAGGAGGACGAGTGACAGTTGGTGGGTCAGGAAGTGGGGTGGAAGCACCAGTCGTGGGCGGGGGGTCGGAAGCAGTGGCCGTGGGAGGATTGGAAGCTGACGTAGAGGACATGGAGCCGGTACTCGGACCGCGGCCGGCTGTTGGCTGCTTGGGACGCTTCCTGCGGTTTGGTTGCTCGTTTGCCTCGGAGTCTGGCTTCTTGCGCTTTCAGTAGAAGGTGCCAACATTCATGTTGGATGTCAGAGTCCGGACTCAGTACGGTGGAAGTGTAGGTGATGGTATTTAACTTGAAAAGCTGAAAGAGAGACAGCCTCCCTTTCACAATTTACATGAGGCGACTGAAAGTACAAAGGGAAACTTTGACTGCCTGCCCATTGGCTAGCCAAGCTCCCTTTCAATCCGCCATAAGACCTCCCTTACGCTGTGCCGTCGCCAATCCGCGGCATGCTTTGCACGCAGTGTTACTGGGTTTCCCAGCGAGTGGATGAATGCTACAGATATGGAGCCCCTTAAAAGGCTAAATTCATTCTCCCATAATGCTGCAGCAATGTGAAATGCTTGTTCTTGCACTTGTTGTATTGAGGAGTCTAGTAGCATTTGCCATATCATCTGGTTTTCAGGCATGTTAAGTGATTCAATGAGTAGTGGGGTGATGTTTGTGTCTTGTAGGTATATGAATGGGTCTTTGAGTCTGGAGTAAAGGTTCCAGAGAATTATCTGTTTTGTAGCAGCAGCAACATTAGATGAACTACAAATGATCAACAATCATCTACATGAAGAGTTAGAGGCTAACCCAAGATAGCTGAGATACTGATCCAGCAGCAGCTGGGTCAATGGTTTCCCATGATTTGTTGTAACAAGTTTCAATGCCTCACGGCCATACATGAAGCGAATGAGAGGTTTTGCGGTAAACTGTGGTTGTCCGGGCAAGTGAGGCCATGGCGGGAAGTTTCCACAGCAGCTCACTCGGACTGCTCGCTATTTATCTCACAGCACTCTGGCACTGATGATCAATGCGAGTGATATGCCCTGATCTAACATGGTCGGCGGTCGCCAGCGGTCGTCGTCGCCTGTCGTCGGCGACTGTCGATGGCTGGTGACGGCTGGTGACGGTATGTCACGGTTGGCGACCTTCCATAACCAACCTGTCTTATGTACCAACACAATCATGACCAGTCTGCTGCAGTCGCTGACCTTCAATGACCTTTGCTGACCCTTGCTGACCTTCGGTGACCTTGCAGCCCACAGAAACAACCTCTTCTTGAAATCTCAGTATACTTTGCAGTCAACAGCAGTCGCCGACTTCCTCTGATGCTTGCGGCAAAACCAGATAGGCCGATCTTTCAAGACGGTCACCAACTTGGCCTGACTGCCCCCGACTTTCAATCTCCTGAGGTGTTTGAAATTCCACAACAGTGTGATTTTCACACCCTCTTGGCTGACGACGACCACATCGCTGACCATGGCTGACTCCTCTTCCAAACCCGCCATTGAACGGTTTGCCGGCACACCTGATGACTTCAAAAAGGGAGAGCTACAAGCAAAAATCTTTCCTGCGTTGGGCCTCTCGACCAAGAATGAGGCCGGGAAAGATTTGAAAGTTAAGGAGCTTCGACAGGAGCTTCGAAAGCACCTTGCTGCAAATGAGGCCCAACTCAAGGTGGATCCGCGCTTTTCCGGATTATACAACACGGCCAGTACAGGCAAAACCGGAATGAAGAGTACTCATAAAGCCATATTGGATGCGACTGAGGCCCTCAAGAAGAACAGTGTGCTTACCGGGTATGTGTCATACATGGAATGTTCTAACTCAATGTTCATTGCGACAACCTCAGAGTTAATAAAACACTGCAAGACCAGAAGATTCCGCTTGATCCCCCAGGACAAACAATGCGGCTCAAGACAATGACAAGTGGATCAAGCAAGAAAAAAAAACTGTTTCTTCCCGATGATGATGAGAAGTCGGAGTCGTCATCTTTGACTGAGCCGGGAGGAGACAATACAGAGGGAGAGGGAGGGGAGGGAGAGAATAGATTGGAGCAGGACTCGGAGCCTGATCTCCAAGGCAAAGATGGTACCAGTAAGCCGGCAATTCTATCCACGATTTACCAAAAATCTAATCGATTTCAGTTCTCCTCAACCTACATAAGTACCGGGATGAAAAGTCAGAGCCATACCAAGTTCCCGTCCAAGTTTCTATCCAAACGTCTCAATCAATGGACGGAACATCTATCTTCAAGGCATCTCTGGCAGAAGTAATTCCACATGTCGCAAACGGTGCATCACCCTTGAAAGGTCGGTAATTCTTTCTCTTAATCAACGATATTGATATCATTCAAGCAGACCGAACCGCCCGATTGTATCGTCCGGCAATGGGAGCAGGTGTTGGTGGTACGATGGAGATCGGTGATGTCAACAATTTTCTGGGTCCTACCAAACCAAGCTACGCTCTGGCAGCAGCTGACACAGTCCCTCTACAAACAACTGAGGACAGAATGTATACAATGAAGTTATGGTACAAGCCTGTACGATTTCCCCCCCTTTATTGGTGCTGATGCTGACGTTAAATTTGCATAGACAATTGTCGAGCAGCAAGCAGTGGTCCAAACCATAGGAGTACTACCACCACCTCTACCCCAGCCGATTACTGCTTCACTGACTACCTCATTGAAGCTCCAAATTCAACCACTCCATACTCGTATCACTGAAAAGACGACTCAATCTACGCTTCTCATGCTATTGATCGGAAAAACAGCACCGACTTCGGATGGGCTCTAACTTGGTCAAGAATAAGACTGGAGAGCAGCTTATGAAGATGGGGAAAGAGGTCGCTGATTATATTGAGAACTATATGGTATTTTCTATCTCAGATGACCTTGCCGATACACAAGGCTTTGTCATTCCACACGGTTTGTTTCTCTCTCAAGTTTTTTTGGATATAACTAAGAAACATAATTAGACTGGGCGCCGACCGACGAAATTAGGGAGTTACTCGACAACCACTTTCCTGCCTGGCAAAGCTTCACAGGCAGCTCCTTCACATTGCAGGATGCGATCGAGGCTGGCGGCTGGGGAGCAACGGTGGGGAAAGGTGCAAGACTGGCTTACCTTCAAGCATCCAAGCTGAACGGCCCGATTGGTGACTGGGTTCGAGATGGGGCAATGAAGGCTTCGAAAGGTGGAGATAAGTGGGCTGTGTTTGCCAGTGGAGAGTTGGGAAGACAGGTGCAAATTCTCTGGCTCGAGCAGAATGCTTCGGATCCCAGAAATGCTGCCAAAGCCAAGAAAGCTATGCAAACAGAAATCGACCGTGCAATTGCTCTCCAGGAAGCTGGTTCCTCAGCGCCTATGCCATACAAACTGTCCTCTGCTGTCTCAAAGCATCACCGGTCCTCCTCTCATAACAAAAAGAGTCGAAAGGTGGTGGATTCAATGTCGAATGAAAGCAGTGGGAACTCGGAGGTAGAAGATGATGAGGAGGCACGTTTGATTGCCCGTCTGGCTGAGCTTCGGGCGTCAAAAACGGAGAATAAGAGCAAGAACAAGAAGGGCAAGCAGCGTGAGCGGCGTTACAAGCCTGTCAGTGGGAATTCCGAAAGGCTTGATGAGAGCGATGGATAAATAGACTCTATACTGATTCAACTCAAGTACCATTAGCTGTACTACCCTATATTCTCTAGATTCAACTCTATTAAATGTTTTCGGAAACTTGAAACCTGATTTGAATATTAGATAATCAACCTTCCTTGACCATGTCCGTGATGTCGACTGCATCTATAACAAAGCTTGTTACCATATTCGATCTGTTCTTCGATCCACATATGCAACTTCACCAAGTCCTCTTTCTTCTGACTGTGATCATTTCCCTCTACCCACTTTTGCGGCTCCATCAAAACCAGCGAGCAGAAGCATATCGAGGCTCGGCTGAAACGGGCTGGATTCATAGTATCCAAACGCTATTATCTCGTGCCTTTATTTCAAGTGCAGATGAGACTCAGCTCTTTTGGATGGAACAAGCGGACCATGAGCAGATGGCAAAACATTGGTCGTTTCGGGTTTCTAATGATCTCGACTACATCTATCGATACCTCGGATCTCTCCTAACCAGCCCTTTCACCAGATTTTCCAACCACCCCGGCCTTTACTTGTGACCTCTCGGCTCAACTGCAAATTTTGCCCTGTTGGACACCGAAATATGGTGCCTTCCTTACGACGACGAAGGGCCGCAAATCCCAATTCACGAGTTTGGTTACTCGACACAAGCTTCCAATGGGTTGAGGCAGATCTGCTGGTTGCAACTTGCTCAAAATGCAAATCAGAGTACTATCCTGACCGGGTTACACGACCAGGTCTAACTCGGGGACAGCGAATCGACTGGTTGGAGTGGGACGCACGGTTTATCCGTATTTCTGTTCATAGCATCTAGGTTGATAGAGCTGTTGCCAAAGCGCAAGAAAAGGCGCTTTACCGGTTTCATTCTGGATGGGCCAATTTTGCCGACTGGATCAATGACAGGTTAGAGGAGAATGCACCACACAAATTCAGCTATCGTCAGTCAAAGCGACTATTTCTCGAACATTTCGGAAGGCGACTGCTTGTTGCTCATGGCAAACACTTATATTTCTCTCTGCCGGGAAATGCGAGTGCAAAACATTAGCTCTGTCAATTAGACAACAAATTGGTCAAGATCAAGGTTTGATTCCAGGAGCATTGGAGCATGGTTGTATGGATTGTACTCATATCAAACGATATCGATCTGATTTGCCAGAGACGCTCGTTGACGGCCAGAGTACTGATGTCGCTGGGCTGATAAACTTGGAGGTAAGAACATTTGATAAAACTTTCTACCATCTATTGACCGAATTCAGCTAGACGCCAACAATGCCAACCCTGACACACTGCCTGCTAACCTGCCCGATGAAGTTTCAAATCAAAATGCGCCCCCAGCAGGAGAACCTCGCGGTTATGTACGGATGATGGTCATGGACGGAAAGACAATCACGCACAAGGTAAATGCAACTGAGAAGTGCTATAAACGCTTATGCACCTATTCAGAAATCTGCTTTATTTGCCTGTAATAATCCTCTGGTCAATTACAAGAATGGACGTTTCTGTCAAGACCATCTTCTGGAGGGACGCAAATGCGGTATCGTTTCCTGCGGGGAGCATGTGAGCTCTGTCGACTCTCTCACGTGCAATAAGCCGGAGCATATGGCTTGGTATCGACGGTTTGATGAACGATTTCATCGTTTATCTTATCCCGGAGTCAAATGTGTTATTCGAAGACAAAATATTGCGTCTGAAACTGGGGAAGACGGTGGTGGGCCAACACTCGAAATCAGCCTCCCTGAGCTGGACGGCATCCCCTGGAACAAAGTCGAACATACATTCCGGGCCAGAACAACTTACTGCTTGGAAACCGCTCAATGGGCCTGTGTATATCCAATTGGCTGGACAAAATGCTATCGGGCAGAGAGTCCTTCTGCTATTCTGGCTTTTATCGACTATTTATGGGATGGAAATAGTGCTGCCCGACCTGGTTTCATTGTTTACGACAAGGCTTGCGAGCTCCTTCGTCATATTGTGACCCAGAATGCTCGGAGTGACTGGATCGAGACAACCAAGTTTATCGTCGACGCTTGGCACTACATCGGGCACCGAGCGACAGATATTCTCTGTCGAGTAAGATGTAACCCGGCGCCAATGGATGGATCCCAGCCCGATCTTGTTCTGGTAGAAGAGGATGACCATGGTGGTCAGCATCAAACCCGAGCGTTCAATACCGAAACAGCTGAACAGCTTAATTCATGGCTGAATGGCTTTGAATCTCAATTGCGACAGATGACAGACGTGAACTATGACTTTTATGTCCATGTTTTGATGCTCCTCTACAGTGAGACGGTGAATGAACGGATTGAGAGGCGTGGACAAGAGCTGGGGGAAGGATTTTTTGAAGTTGTTGATGGAGTCACTGAGTTAGGTGTGTATTAGAGCTCTGTACTCCATGTGAATCGAGACCAACACTTATCTGACTTAAAAATGGAAAAGAGCTGTCGAAAAGAGCTGTCTACTTCTCACGCTTAGTGAAATTGGGCCGCAGAAGAACTCCTCCAGACTCTCGCTGTCTGTCGTGAACAGGCGCTTGTGGCTGGTAAGCAAGTGCCGCTTGAATTGGAGCGCTCGTGTGGGCAGCGATACACCCTGCGAGTCATTGCACAACCATTAGTTGGCAGTTACGAGTAACGGAGAAAGACGCACCGCTCGCCTCAATTGTACTCCCTTATGAGCACTGGCCAATGTCATTCATTGCACACAGAATGGAGTGGCCACTCCTTAACGTGTTGCAACAGATCAACAATCAGCTTGACTCGAAACCAATCTGGGGACACCAGAACGGAAGAGAGTGAGAAAGCCCAAGTTGCTCTGCATGGCCTTATATACTCAACCATTGTGCCTGTGGAAGGACCAGTGTAAATGCTTGGTTGTTCGTGCTTTGATGCACACTAAAGGCTTTGACGCGCACTCGTCAAAGCGCACTCATCAAAGCACGGGTTCGCGTTTTGCTTGGGCCATGTGATCGTGAGGAGGCAATGCGCATGTTGGCTTTGACCAGACCTGAACAAATAATGCGCCGTGTGGGACCAAGCTCCAACTGCCTATAAAAACCCAGCAACTTGGGTGTCTTTCACTGCACCCTTCCCACTGCACTCTCTCCAACGCTTCAGTTACATTGACTACCCATTCCCATGACGCGCAAGCCATCCCCAACACGACTTTGGAAAGCAAAAGCCTCCACGGCTACTCACCCCGCAAAGAAGCATCCTGGGGCAGTCATGCCACCATACGAGCTTTCAAAGAAGAACGAGGGCCGCTACAAACTGGCAGCGGCTGCACAACTTGCCTTAAATCTACGACCACTTCAAGCCAAGAAGAATCAACTCTTCCAGCGTGTGGACCCGTATGCCTACGCTAGCTCTATTCAAGCTGGGCAGAAGATGGACGAAGTTGCAGCCGGATATACGCAACTTGCGCCGAGACGATCTCGCCATAATGGAAGGTCGAGAAATTATGTGGCAACGACGCAGCGCCAAAGCATAAGGACTTGTCGGATCGCCCTGAGATGTGGGCCATCTTGAAGGCACTTTATGGCGACAAGAACGCGAAAGGCGGCGTGTTGAACATACCCGGGCTTGGGCTGCGAGTGCGTTATGGGCATAGGGACATTGTCATGATTCGGGGTCGTTTGCTTGAGCATTGGGTCGAGGATTGGTCTGGTGGTCAACGAGTGGCCATTGCTAATTTCACCCACGACACTTACTGGAAGTTTCTTGGTATGCTGCCACCAAATCCTTTAGAAACAGTACAAGAGATGGAAGATGAGGATGTATAATTATATAGTACATACACAAAATTAAGAATCTACTGCTCCGTTCTCCACTGTGTCTGTGCCAAATGTGGCCGTGAAGTTGCCGACCGTGGCTACAAGGTCGGCGACCTTGAGGCCAAGGGTCACCGACTGAGGTTGCAAGGTCGCCGGCTGAGGTGGCAAGGTCACCGACTAAGGTCGCGGAATCGGCGACCTTGAGGCCGGGGGTCACCGATTGGAGAGAGGGAGATGGCTTGGGGAGTTGCCGACTAGGATGCTAAAGTCGCTGACTGTGCAAAGGGGGTCGGCGACTGGAGTGCAAGAGTCGCCGATTGCGGACCGAGAATCGCCAACTGAAGGCTTCAAGCAAAGCCGCTGACTGCAGGGTGGCGGTCGCAGACTATCGCCTGGGGGTCACCGATAGGGCTGTAGGCCGTTGCCGTATATTACGGCGTACGGCACGCCGTAATACGGCGCCGTAACCGTACCGTATGGCAGCCTGGTGCCCAAGTGTACGGGACGGCGACGGGACGGCCGTGACGCCGTAATGACCGTCCCGTATACGGTGACGGTCGCCGTATACGGCGAAGGCTCGGCTAGCGCGCGATTTGATCCGGAGATCGTCGATCCGCCGGGTATCGGACCTCCGGATGCCCGTTGCTACGCTGTCGGTGGTCAGCCAACACGGCCTGGCTAGCCTCCGAGGCAGCCTAGCACTCCAGGCGGGCGCTTGGCACTGCCACCCGTCCCGGCCCGGTCGCTCGGAGGCACCTTTAGCCTAGGTCACACCCAGTGACCTAGCTGGCCGTCACCGTCACCGTAATACGGCGTGACGGCGCCGTCCCGTACCGTAAGCGCCTCGAGCTCGAGGGCTTACGGTACGGCGTAGGGCCGTCCCGGCACCGTCAGAGGCCGTACCGTACACGGCCGTAGCCGTATACGGTACGGTCTACAGCCCTAGTCACCGACTGTCCCTTGGGGTCACTGACAGTTTTGGTGGACAGTTGGCGACTGCGGCCATGGAGGTACGCGGTCAGCGAAGCTCGGCGGATAAGAGCACAAGGGTCGCCGACTCTGACCCTTGCAGTCGCTGACTGTCGCCGACTGGTGTGACCGCGTTATTTCGCGGCGTATTACTGATCAATGCCGCAGGAAGTCCTCGAAAAATGTTGGCAGATATTAGTGAATGTGGAGCAGCTTCTAAGTTCTGACATCCTTTTTGATATGTCTTACAGCACTTGCACTGCCCATCGATCTCACACTTTCGGTCAAGCTGTCGGGACTTGTCCGCCGAGCCACGTGTTGCACCGCCACGTTCCCCACGCTGATCTCCCTTGTCTCCGTACCACGACATACGACATCATGGACCCTTCCCCATCTGCGCAACCCGCCTCCGAGAGCGACGACGACAACCAGGCCTTGACCGCCGCCGCCCTGCTGGCCGCAGGGACGCAGTCGCGGATGCGGCGAAGACCGGCGCAGCGCGAGTCGGTGGTGGGGAGTCTGCAGAGCGATAATGCGAGGGGGGTGACGTGTGGGGGCGTGATTGGACCGGGAGAGAGGCTGGAAGAGCACGGAGGCGTGCTGCCAAACCCGCTGCCGCTGCCACTGTCGGCTTCAGCGTCACCCTCACCAGTGGCGCGGACAAATGGGTGTGGTGCACGTGTCCACGCGTCCGCCCACCCTGCGCGGGCAGGCGGACGATGGGTAGCTCCGCCAGAGGGTGCAAGTGGGGTAGTCGTCCCACTGGAGAGCACGTATTTCACCCCAGATGCGGCGCGGATGCTGGAATTGGCAAGAGCCGCGGGGTGTGGATGCGCAGCCCATGGTGTCGGGTGTGCGGTTTGGTGTGTGAACTGTCTTATCCTCGGTTACTGTTGGCTGATAACGGTGTAGCGGCAATGCGCTGGGGGCGCTGTTCACACCGTGCAGGACTCATACGGCGCGCAGCACCGGAGCGTTGCGCCGACAACAGCATTATGTCTTCCTTCCGGGCCATGTTAGTCCCGCCATTCAGGAGGCGTCAACTGGGAGTAGACACGCCACAACGACACCCACTCACACAGACGTCACGCCCCGCCCGCCCGCAGTCACGCTCCCGCCGCTCACGACGTTATCTATTCGCCATGCAGGTCCATCGATAGAATCAGGCGTGAGGCTAGGCGGGTCCTTCACAATAGCGCCCGCGACGCTGGAGAGGTTTGCCGCGGCCGATGCGGAGGTCCGCCAAAGGCTAGAGGCAGAAACGGCCCGGGGAGATGTCGAGTGCGTGATTGTTCTATCGTTGTTCGCCTCTACCATCCCTCGTTTACTTTTGTTCTCCGCCTTTCCGCCTGGCCCCTCTTCTTCATCCACGCGGTTTAAGCCTTACTCATCACATTACAGTGCCACCCCGCCCGTAACGGCGCCGACCGTGACGGAACCAGACACGTTCATGGCGATGGAGAGTCCGTTCCGGGAGCTGTACCAGCTGCTGCGCCCCGTGGGCGAGCGGGCAGACGGCGGCAGCAACGCGGAGAACCAGGCGGTTGGCCCCTTCGGGAACGCGGGCGCCGGCTGGCCCGAGCCGCCCCCGCCCCCGCCGCCAGGGATTCTGCCGCCGCTGGAGATCGTCGCGCCGCGGCCGCCGGTCATGGGCGCCGGCCCGGGCCCGGGGGATCCGGCGGCTGCGATAACGGATTCACAACCGCTCCCCCTGCCGGGGATACAACCGTCGACAGGCGCGACCCCGGCAGCGCCGAACGACGGCGTGGAGGAGATGATCGAGGTGTTGCGCATGGTGGCCGAGATGGGGACGCCGGTCCCGCCGCCTGCGCCTGCGCCTGCTCCGGCGGCGGACCGTGACCGTCGGGCCGCGCTGCGCCGACTGGCGGACGAGCAGGGCCGGATGGACCGCGGGACGCCCGGGCCGGTGACAGGGGCGATGGACCGGGAGTGGGACGCCTTGCGTGTGCGGGCAGCCAGAGAGCGCGTTGCGACGGCACGGCAGAACGCGGGGCAGGAGGATATTGCAGCGGATGGCGAGATTGCGCCGTGGTACACCCCAACGATGCCTCCTGAACGATCTGAGGCACCAACGTGGCCGCCCCCGCGTCAATTCCCTGGCGGCGGCGCAAGTGTGAACAGCACGTGAGTGTGTCTTTCCTTCTCGATGCCGTTATGTGTTAAACGCGGGCAGAGCGCCGGGGCCCCGGCTACTGGCAGCAGCGCACGCGCGGAGGTCCAGGCTGACGGCGGTACGGGCGGAGGGACTGCCGGACGCTGCGACCTCCCGCGCGGGGGTTGTTCAGCGCAGGCGGGCCGATGCGGGTGGCAGAGGCGTCCCGGTCGCCACTGGGGCAACTACAACGGTCACCCTTCAGCCAATTGCGTCCGGCCCGCCCGCGCCGGCCGCACCAGGCGATGCTTTGGACGCCGCCCCTCCATTCAACGAGCGCGAATTCATGGCCGCGATCCGCGCGCGGTATGCCGCGATGAATAGTGCTCGAGCTGCCGGTCTGCCGCACACAACTACGGCGGGACCGCCTGTAACCACGCCTCCCGCGGCGCAGGCGGGGACGGCTGCGGGTAGTGAAGGCCAGAGTGCAAGGCATGCGTCGCCCCCGTTCGAGCGCTAGCTGCATATGGATGAAGGGGGGTTTGTGTACGAGGAGAATTGTTTGCACGCGGGTTCATCAACAACTCTGACATTGCATCACTTGGCCGGCCTAATGGTCGACAAGACTGGCTCTACCACTATGTAAACTTGTGATTCCCACATTAGGCAACTCTGGTCTGATCCCATCAATAGCTTTGTTGATCGCGACATGCTGATGCACGATCTTGGTGGTGTGGGCCATTTCTATCAGGTCTTGGTCACCTGTGTAGCCCAATACCCACTGTGTACTATCTAGTCCACCCCAGCGGGGTGTCGCAGATAAGCCATGCTGCTCCCAGCATTGCCATAGAACTGAATAAACCTTGGAAAGGGAACTGAATAAATCTGAGCAGTTCTTAGGTTTTCACCATTTTTCGCACCAAGTCCACATGACTGGCTATTATCACCTCACTCATAGTATGAATAATGTTCAATAGTGATTATATACCCAAGTATAGGAGTCAGTTCTATATAATTATGGACTACTCAAAGAGGAAATTGCATACCAGGTCCTAATAGTAAGTGAAATTCAGACACCTGTGCAGCCCAGATCAGCTCCATATATACTGTTAGGTTACAAGGATGACACAGTTCCCAAAAAGGAAATTTTCGCAGTCTAACAGTGGAATTATAAGAGAGTGTCACACTTTGTCACAAAATCAAAGTTGTGTATTGTAACTATATAAACACCTTTCATTAAGTAACCTATAGTGGTGGCTCAATAAATGTGTTAGCACTGACCCATCATGAGCTTGTATTTAGCTGATGGGCTCCGATCTCAATAGCTGCTCGACCTAAATACATGAATCAAGTGCTAGCAGGAAGGCTATCAAAGGCAAGGATTGATTATGAAGTATTTTGATCATCATTATATGATATGATTACTATATTGATCATTCAGTAATTAAAAAGAGAATATCTAGTACTTTGACAATGTAAGGTGACAGACTTGTAAGTTTAGCTACTCTAACAAAACTCCCTGGCGTATACCCTCCTCACTCCCAGTGACTATGGCACTGATAATACAATACATTCACTCATCAGTAGAATTTGATCTCCATCACCTCTGAAAGATGGGCACAGATCTCCAGAATACATGCCAGAACCATGATGAATTATAGTATGGGGTCCTACTAGACATCCAAATATCCTCATACATGCATCTCAATGTCCAGTACTCAGTCTTAGACCCCACCATTAATGTAAACCAGTTCTGCACTCAACTCATCTTGGAATATTCACCCCAATTCATCCTCCAAAAATATATAGAGATCAATCAGGGTATGTAGGTAGATGTATACACCTCATTTGCCAAGTTTCACATATTTGATCTATAATCAACTGGCAGATCATAGCTGTATTGCCAATATGATATGCAGTACTATTCATCATTATAATAGGGAATAACAAGATTTCGTATGTATATAATGTGGTGTGGGAAATTTAATCTCATAGGGGGACCCCTCCGTATGCTTCCTACTCTTGTTGTGTTGGGGATCCCTCACTTCTAAGTAAGTTATTGGGAGATTGGTGTGATAGGATATTGTTAAGTGCCGTGTCGACCAAAGGGACGGAGACGGAGACGGAGACGGAGTCGAAGTCGGAGACGGAATCGAAGTCGTAGAGCACTTGGGGCGGAACACCACAGAAGGATGATTGGGTGACCGGGGCTTCCAGTTGACCAAGACAAGACAAGAGGAGAAGAGCGGAGTCGAGACGACGCTGGGAGATAGAGACCAGCAACGTTAATTTACAAACTGAAGTACGTGATAATACATCAAAGTATTTATAGTATGAGAAGTAACGGAAACGGAATAAGGTATAACAAAGTAAGTAACAAGATTAGAACAAAGTCAAGTAAAGTAGAAGAGGAGTTGCATACGAGGAACAAGGCATAGATGATTGCATAGATCATAAGTCGGGGTAATTGGAAACGCTCAGTAAATCTTCATTACGTAAAAACCAAATACCGGAGACGGATATCGGAGACGGATGCCGGAGTCGGCACGGATATAACATCCCCCTCTTGTGTTTCTTGCCCACAAGAAACAGGAGCAATGGTCGTAGAGGTAGGAGTCGGAATCAGAATGAGTCGGAGTCAGAGTTGGACTTGTGAAAATTTTGAGTCGAAAGCCGGAAAGGCCGAGATCACCGAGGAAGCCGGTGAGAACGTGATAATAGCAAGGAGGACGAAAAAGGAAAGGGGTGACAAGAAGCACGTCACCGATTGACATCAATCTCTCTAGCTTCTCCTCCTCCCACCATGCCACCTAAACGCCAAAACGCCAGAAACGCGAAGAAGACCAAGAACCTGTACACCAACGCGGTGGAGCAGGTCGAGGAGTTTTCGGAGACGGAGAGGGTCGGTGGCTGGGTTGGGGGGACAGACAGAGACCCCTTGGCTGACGTGTTACCGTCGGGTAGCAACCGACGCGTAGACATGCGGAGGGAGTTGGAGGAGTTGGAGCGTAGAGCGGAGAGGCTTCGTGCTGAGCTCGCGGAGATGGCTCCAAAGGCGCCGTCACCGGGTGGTCGGTCGGAGTCGTACGATCCCGATGACCCGGTTGACAACGAGCCGATCAACGAGGAGGAGTCGGAGCACGGTTCCGTCATAGCCCCATTGGCAGCGGTTCCGGATGATGAAGCAGAGCTCATCGAACGAGCAGCCGAGTACCATAGGAGCCGCGCCGAGCAGCAGCGAGCCCGGGTGCTCAAGGAACAAGAGGAGGAGGCCGAGGCCAGGCAGAAGGCGGCGAAGAAGGCCGCTGATAAGGAAGAACGGCGCCGGGCCCAGGCCGAGTTGGGCCAGAGAGCGGGCCAGAGCTCGCAGGGAAAGCGGACTCGCCCCGCTGACCCTTGCCGAGACGGGCGGAGGCGAATGCCCGGATTGGCCGGCGAATCATACGGCGCGTTGAGTCATCCGCGGAGCCCGAGCCGGCGGTTGTAGCCGAAGAACCCAACAATGCGGGAACACCCGAAGACGCCAAGAACGCCGATAAGGCCCAGAACGAAGGGTCCGATGCGGGGAGCGATGAAGAAGGCAAAAGTAAGTGCCAGACTTGAATTGGATTACAAACCTAACCCGATTTGGTAGAAAAATGCGCCAAGTGTATCAAGTCGGGAAACCCTGCGTGTGGAGAGCGAACCCAAGCCCAACACGACTTGGCACGGGCGGCTTTCCTGCGACAATTGCCGCAAGCTCAAGATCCGTTGCGAGGACGGAAACCCGCCACTGCGATTCCGCAAGAACGAGAAGGAGGCGGGGATGGTCAAGGAGAAGGGGAAAAAGAAGAAGTTTGCGGGGCCACGAATCGTGGTGCCCAGGGTAGTTGCGAAGAAGGCTCCTGCGGAGACGTCAGCGGAGACGCCAGCGGAAATGTCAGGTTTGATGCTCAGCAACGCGGGGGTTGCCGCCACAATCGGCAATCTGCTGATGCGTCAGCGAACTGATCACCGGCAACTCAACCGCGTGATCATGGGTTTACAAAACCTTGGTCGCGAGCTGCGATTCAACGTTGGCGCAATCAATTCGGCGACCACACCCGAACAGCTGGACGAGCGCATCCAGGGGATCGACAAGACCCTAAAACACTGGGATGTGTTCATTCAGCGAGAAGGGCAGTTGTGCCGGGACGCAGATGAGTCGGAATCGGAGGATGCCGTGGGTGAGCCGTACGAGGAGGAAACAGAGGAGCAAGAAGAGGTCGAAGAAGAAGACGCGATGGATGTGGACGAGGAGCCCCCGGCGAGGGTTGACAAAGGGAAGGGAAGAGCCGAGTAGCGGAGACGGAGACGCCTCGGAGACGGAAACGAAAAACGACGAAGATTAGAGTCGTTATGTAAAATAGAATAGTAATTTTCCTTATCTCGATAATCCGGAACGGAGTGAGAGTGATTTGGGTGACGTTAATCCAACTTAGGCTTGTTGGGGTATTGACGATGGAAGGATTCGATATATTCTTCAGCTTCCAAGTCAGGTGCACCAACCCAAGTGAATTGTTCGTCAGTGTTCTCGTAACCAAGCCATTCGACCAGGTAGCGGAGTCGAGCCGGACCCTTGAAACGACGATCAATCTTGGAGTCCACAATCTGTTTGATTTCGAAGTGTTCTTCTCCATCGACTTCAATTGCCGCAGGTGGTGGCTCTTCGCGACCAGGGAACTTGTTGGGTGTGTGGATTTCGATTTGGGAAACGTGAAAGACGGGATGGACTTGAGAAAGGGATTTCGGGAGACGGACTTGATAGGACGCAGCACTGGGCTTTCCGATGATCTCGAAGGGACCAAAATGCGTTTCCGAGAACTTCGAGTCGGACGCTTGGTCTTGATGTACTTGGTCGAGATAAAGACTTCATCACCAATAGACGGAGACGGATCCGGAATGCGTTTCCGGTCCGCAGTCTCTTTGTATTGCTCCTGAGCGTACTTGATCTGTTCCTTGAGGAACTCGTGCAGCTCTTGGAGATCGACGACGTAGTCCTTAGCATAAACATTAGCCACATCACGCTCTGGATGAATCGTAATAGAGGGATCGTAGCCTTTGTTCGTGAAGAAGGGTGATATGCCAGTAGAAGCGTTAGGAGCATTATTGAGTGCGAACTCTGCGATCGGCAGTAACTCGTGCCAATCATCCTGTTGGTAAGAACAATAGATGCGAATATATTGCTCAACAGTTTGGTTCATGCGCTCCGTTTGCCCATCAGCTGAAGGATGATAACCCGAAGTGTAATGGAGTTCCATGTTGAGTAGTTCTCCAAGGGAACGGAAGAAAGAGGACACGAATTCCTTTCCGGGTCAGAAGTGACGTGGGATGGGACTCCGTGTTTCGAGAAGACGTGAATGAGGAAAAGTCGAGCGAGCTCCGGAGACGAAATGTGAGTGTCGCACGGAATCAAAATGACCTGTTTGGAGGCACGATCAACGATGACTAGAATGGTATCGAATTCACCGGATGTGGGGAGCTGCTCAGTGAAGTCCATAG